GGAAGGTTGGAAGGCTGGATGGCTGGATGGCTGGATGGCTGGATGGTTGGATGACTGGATGAAGGTTAGAAGGCTGGAAGGTTGGAAGGCTGGATGGCTGGATGGTTGGATGACTGGATGAAGGTTAGAAGGCTGGAAGGTTGGAAGGCTGGATGGCTGGATGGAAGGTTGGAAGGATGGAAGGCTGGATGGTTGGAAGATTGGAAGACTGGATGCTTGGAAGGCTGGAAGCTTGGAAGGTTGGAGGTCTGGAAGTGCAGGCTGCAGGGCTGGATGGAAGGTTGCAAGGTTGGAGAATGGATGGCTGGAGGATTGCAAGGTTAGAAGACTGGAAGCCTCGAAAATTGGCAGGTTATAGGTTATAAGGCTATGTAGAAGGCTGTGCGGGGCTGCGTAGAAGGCTGGATGGCTAGAAGATTAGAAACTTGGAAGAATAATAGATTATAGATTGAAGGGCTAGATAGAAGGCTGGAGGCCTAGAAGGTTGCAAGGAAAAATAAAGAAGGCTTGGAATAATAGAGGGCGGCCGGTATATAAATTTTTAGATTTAAATAAAGTATATATATTTCCTCTATCTCCTATAAGTCCAAATCATCCTCCTTATATTTAAAAAATATCAGTATATATATTCGATTTAATAAATATATTACAAAAAGATATAAATTTTATGTAATAGATTAAAAAATCAGAATATTATCTAATAAAAATATATAAATTTGCACTCCATATTATTTTATTCATAATTTAATAATAATTTCTTCTAATGAAACTAATTTATTTATTATAATGGCAAAATAAAAATATATATATATAAATATCATATAGCTTATATATAGAATAATATTTAGAATCATAAATTCTGAAATCAATATTTCAGAAATAATTTCTCAAGGAATAATTTCTAAAATAATCATAATCTTCCTTTATTTCTTATATAAGAATAAAAAATATAATTCTAATATAATATTCAAGAATTAACTAATCAACCAATCAAATAATCAAGTTTCTAGAGAACCGTCTTAATAAATATAAATAAATATCATATCTTATCAAATAAATGCGTAATCAAATATCTGAATAAATATATCAAATATATATATATATAATAAATATACAATTAGACGCCCAGAGAGACGCCCAGAGAGACGCACAGAGAGACGCGAAGAGATACGCAAGGAGACACCCAACCAGACGCACAGACCCAATCAGACGCACGGAGAGACGCACAGAGACAGATGGGCACACACAGACACAAACACACACTCAGAGACACACACACACACAAACACACACACACACTCGCACACACAGACACACGCAGAGACACCTGCATTCAGAAGCACGGCACTGAAGCTCAAGGTACCAACATTTCGGAAATTATACTACTGCGAGCATGTCCCAAAAATTTCGGAGATTTTATGACCGGGAGCATGCCTGCCCAAAATTTCGGAAATTTTGATTACAGGGAGCATGTCCCCCTAAAGCTACCAAAATTCCGAAATTTTACTTGATTTTACTACCGCGAGATTTCCTAAAGCTTCGTTTTCTTTTGCGAAATTTTGGTACCGGTAAAGAAGTGCTCCCGGTACGAAAATTTCCAGAAATTTGAGAACCGCGAGACAGGCACGCAAGAGGCTTTCAAGAGGAATCGCGCCAAAGTACGAGGTTACACGGGCCAGGGGCACGCACAAAAAACGGAGGCGACCAGCACGGCACCGTTTTATTAGAGAATATATATATATATATGTCTAACTGGGTATTGTTGTATTTTTAAGTGTAAATCGAAATGAAGTTCTAATCAATTGTTTATAAGATCTACCAGATCGGTGGAAAAAAATGACCTTCATATAACATATTCAGCTTTACACCTAACTCGCTTCTAAGAATGAAGATTCTTCCTGATTCAGAACAGTTCATTATCAGTAGCACATTTCTCATCGACAACCTAAGCTACCCTACCCGAGCCCAAACATTGAACTGCTCATGTAATATGCGTGCCTCGATGAGTGTGGGGCACGTAAACCGTCTCGGAGTAGCTGTGACAAGTCTGCCGTCCGTGCAATCGCCAGCCCTGAAACTCAGCCCCATCGAAGAAATACATGCTTCGGGCATGGGGTCTTACTAACCCGAACTGATCTGAGAGACACGAATCTTACACAAGCAGATCCCCTGCATGGGATGGGTAAGGCTCTGCTCAGCTATCCAAGGATGTCCATGTAAGAACGACAAAGCCATTTCCTGAAGTACGGACACACAGAGGATCCCCCACCATGGCTGCAAGCTTCTCCTAGCGTTTGGCTGCTCTGCTTTTCGCCTCAGCCATTGCTCTGGGGCCTGCCAATTCGTGGGTCCAGTGGGTAGTATCTGTCGGGAGTTGAAAAATGGTCCCAACCCTGATAGCCGGAAGCCTCACGAAGAATCTTTGTCTTGGAGACCGCGGCGGCTTTATCCAATCGGCGGTTCAGCTTCTTGCACGCCGGGCTTGTCTTTGCAGCGTGGCACTCGAAAGCCAAGATGTCGATCAAGCCCAACTTTCCGTGGTCTAATAGCCCAGAGAGGATGCCGTGTTCAGCACCCTCCACATCCATCTTCACGACGATGTAGTCCGACTCACGAAAGCTGTCGATCATCCATCGCACCACATTGACCATGGGGATGTGATACTCTCGCGAAGTATCTTTCTTGGCATTGCCCGCTCCGAAGCCACCGCGAATTAGCACGGTCCTTGCAGTGTTGTCCGTCATCTTCAGCTCCCCGTCTTCTGATCCCACGGCTGTGGGAATGAACCTGGGCAGAGTTCATATAATAGTTATGGAAAGGTCAATATTGTATAAACTTATATGTTCAACGTATTGTGCTTGAATGAATGCTTGGGGCAATGTCTGCCAAGCAGTATTGCTGTGCAGTTAAGGCACGTGTAACGTGACTCCTCTGCTGTTGGAGGAGGGGCAGCAGCTTCTCGCATGCGCGAATGGATGAGCTGCAAGCTGCTGAGCTCGGGCTCCACCTTCGGATCGAAACAAATACCACGATGGGGAAGGTGAAGCTGCTAGCATCAGACTCGGGGTTACATAACACTGCTCATGTAACCCAGCATGGCACAGAAGCTCGCCTTGAGAGCATGGATTTGCGGCTCGAAGAGCTTCACCATGCACTCTCGCGTCGAGTCTGTGGTCTTTTTCCTGCAATGAAACCTCTTCGCGAGGTCGTTGAGGTGGCCATTGGACCCTGCGGGCGGTATGAGCACCGGAGGTTTCGGCCCCTTGCCGTTCAGGAAGCTGACAAACTTGTTCACATAGGGCTGGATTAGCGGATTCCTGTGACGCAGACACGGCTTGCACGGAATCTTCCGTGAATCGTTTTAGAACTTCCAGGAAACTTGGGGAGGGGTATAGATCAGCCAAAGCTGCGCTTCAAAGGCATAGACCTCCCATGCGGAATCGCGGTGCGGGCTCTGACTCAGATCTGAGTACCTTAGTCAATCCATGTCTTCCATGTCTTTGGAAAGGTGCTTCGGGGGGGGACTGTTGTAGAGTTGACACACCTCACGGAACATGTTGCCAAAGTCCACACGCACGGTCGGGAATACTACCACAGCCCTCAAGCCTGATGTTCTAAGGCGCCCGGACCCAGCCTAAGCTGAAATTAGAGAAGGCGCAGGCGTAAGGTGTTGGCCCAGTTCGCACCCATGTCGAGGTAGATGTGCCTGCTGCAGCAAGCTTATGAATGATTTCTCTCTTTCTGTATGAAAGTGCACGTAATGACGGGCTAGAATATCATTGTATTATTGTATTGTCTAGTATCATGCTAGATTACAGTGTGCAAGAACTACAAGACGGGCAGATCTGCTTTCGCCTCGCCTTCGGTAGGACGTCACGGGAGGCCCATCCTCTCAAAGTGTGGGCTCAATACTGCCGGTCGATCTCTGAGGGCTTCAAAGTTAAAGGTTTACCTGTACTACCGCCCCCAGGACTCGGAGACTTGGAGAGCATTTCTCATCTCAAGTCGCACAAGTATCGTAGCGCCACGGCGGCATCGCAAATTTGGAACGGCGGCAGTGGGGGCCTCAAAACCTTCCCAAGGCTCCGAGATCCCGTTCAACCTCCCACCACAACTTTCGATTAACGCAATCTCTAGAACCCAACCCCGCTCACGGCCATGATGAATGCAATCCTAGAAATATGATTCGTTAACTCTTGGGTTTCGACTCACACACTCGCACAAGGCAGGCATGGCAATGAGGCAAGAGTTAGGGTTTCTTGACACTCACACTCGGACAAGCCTGGTAAGAGGGTTTAGGGTTACTGTCCTTCTTGGTGGGTTCCGTCCAGGACTGCACCTGCCCCGTCGCAGAGCTCGCATGCGGCGGCACGTCTTCCTCGAGCTGGGCTCGAGGCTTCTTACAATATGGGTAGTTCTCTAAAGTAGGGTCCCTTTTAGGCTCCATTTTATAAGGGTGCCGTACTATATTGGGGACCTGAAAAGGGACCCTAATTTAGAAAACTACCTATATGAGTTGAAGCAGGATTTGTTTTTGAAGGGGGGAGTATGTATCACACAGAATGACAATAATGAAGCACCAGAAGAAGAATGTCATTCCCGTTTCGCTCGGGTCGAGGAATTGAAGTCCAGAATTGTATCACGCCGGTGCGCAGCCTCAGAACAGCAGAATGAAGTGGGGCCGTGCTTGGACTTCTTTTTAGGGGTTCCTTTGCTTGGAGGATCTGGAACTTAGTAAGTAGGGTTATGGGTACAATAATTGGGGGTTACAGATCATAGTTACCTTTTGTAGTACGTTGTTTATGACAGCACTTGCTAAGGCCTTTGGTCTTTTAGCTCTGTAAGTAAACAGCCCTCAAACCCCTTACAGTTTGACAGATGTATGTGCTTAAAACAGCCGCTGACGCGATGCATGTAGAAGGAGTCATCAACTGGAAATGCTTGCTGCTAAACAAGGATGGTTTCGAAAATGTGCGTCCGAAGCCAAATGCTTTTGCTCAGGGACGGCTGGGGAGAAGTAGCAACTAGGGTATAAGTCGGGATGCGAGCTTCACTCCCGAGCACTCTGTGTAGAATTGCATACAGTAACTCCTAGCTCGCACGGGGCAGGCACGGATTCATGGGTCTAGCATTTGCCAAGCCTGAAAGAACGACGCATTTAGGGTCACTGGTTTCACTGGTTCGCAAACCCATAATTACTCCGGAAGCGCCGTGAAACCCTAGTAGGGCCTGTAAACTTTTTGAAAACCAAGAAGGCTTTCCTGACTCCTAAGCCTCAGACCCCATAAAAAAAGGGCCAAACCTTTTGATGCACTTCGCCGAGAGGGTCGATCGAAGCCCCATGGCAAGAGCTGGCAATCTTAACCAAGGCTCCGAGTTTCGTGTGGCAGTTCTCTTTGTTAGGGTCCCTTTTGAGGTCCCCAAAAGAGTACGGCACTCTTATAAAATGGACCCTAAAAGGGACCCGAATTTAGAGAACTACCCTTTGGTTTACTCACACCTGCAATCTAGGGCGCAGCATTTTACGCTCTCTATCAGGTGCAAGTCGGCGTGAAGCTAGGTGAAGCCTCCCACTGCCAATGCACGAACGCATTTCAGGGTTGGCGATCGGGAATGCCATGTCAGGATGTGGGGCTTGAGGCCTCCAAGCAGTAGAGTCGATTATTTAGGAGTGTACAGACTTTCGCTCGATATAAGGGGGTTCAAATTTAGTATGTTAAAGTTGCATTATGTAAAGTTAAAAGAAGATAATCTTCTAATTGTGTCGACTACCAGAGATTTTCCCCCCAGTACTGGTGGGCATGCTCTTCCACCCAGACCGGGTTACACTGGCTCTCACATGGCCCTTTGCACAGAACGCGCTGCCGCCGCAGCCGCTGTTTCAGTTCCCAACCCTCGGAAATCAGTTTGTCCACCGCTTCTTGCTCCGGCCCCGGTTCGTGGTGAACTTCCACGATAATCCTCAACGGTGCTTCTGAACAACGTGAAAGCCAAAACGACTAACCGTAAGGAAAAGGGAGTTCAAAGAAGCAAAACCTCCAAACTACCCTTTTACATCCCATGCCCCACACCCTGCAACTCCAACTCCAACGCCCCACACCCAAATCCAAGATTAAGCAGACCCAAACCTTACACCACAACCCTGAAGCCGCAAACCACCAAATTCAGCGCCTAAGTAGGCTGCCAAAGGTCATGGACAGCATCTCTAGCAGCTCTGGATTCTCCCCAAGGAAGCTGCCGAAGCAACCCTCGCCTGCTTTCGTCAGGTTGTTATACGGGGTGTTTAAAACGACTCTAACAGGGTTTGAATCTCCATTACGATACTAGGCCCATACAGCCATACAGTATATCACAGTGGCTCTCTTGTTGTGGCAACTTAGACTAACTTCATTAACAAGCACCCAGTCACAGTCAATGGCCAGAGTGTCGAACGTGGCATTCAGAGACCGGAGGCTGTGCGCAGGAACCACCACTCCCGGTCGAGGGTCATCAAGGCTCATGGTGATACTGCCGTAGTTGTGGAGCAGGAACTTTAGGCTGCTCGTGCCAACAGGGCCACGAACCACCTTAAGTTGAAACAGAAGCCCTCACCTCTAGCAAAACACACAGGAGAAGCCGTTACATCTGATGTCCCGGGAACTGTTGCATGGCAGCCGTGGCGTTGAAGGTTCTCTTCCAATACATCCCACACTGCAGGATCAGCATCAGACGCATGCAACCTTGCGCCGGCAGAGTCTGGCTCCAGGAGCTTGGAAATAAGGCAGGTCGTTTGACCATACCTGAGTTGTATTTTGCGGGTGCCCAGATTCATACAGGAACAGGAACCCGCAACCCCACACCCCAAAACCCTTAACTATGAGGTTATAAGAGACCTTTCAAAAGTATCCCAAACAGATCTAAATCCTCAACCTCAAGACAAGGAACCGTGCTCCGACTTCCAGGACCGAAGACCCGGGACGTATCCAAGTCGTATACATCAGCCGGGAGCCGTGCCTTATAGCTTTTGGTTTGAAACCCTAAACCCTAAACCCTTTTGCAAACCCTAAACCCTAAACCCTAAACCCCCCTAAACCCTAAACCCCGGTTTGGGTTTAGGGTTTGGGGCTTCGGACTCGCTTCAAAGTTCCCTGAAGGTTCAATTATAACGGCTGTCGTTTCATAAAAGCTACGGCTACGGCAGAAGAACCGCAAGAAAAGTTTCTAACGGTTAGGTCTTCGAGAGCTCAGGCGCTCAATTTGGCAGATGAATTGGTTCCCTCCCTCCGTCTGAAAGTTGCAGTCATCTCGGACCAACTCCTGGGTTCTGATGTCAGGGAATGGGATATATGTAATTTGCAAATGAATGAACATTTTATGTCTGTACATATATATGTATACATACTAACTTATTTATGTAAGCATGTAATACAAAAATACAACATATTTCTCTCTCTCATATATATATATATATATATTTATCTATTTATTTCTTTGTTTACACAATTTGATAGGGCTTCGAAACTCACGGCTGGTTGTGGCTACGCTTGCAGATGATCCTGCCCCTATAAGTTGGAACGTGGCTGAGCCCAGATTCAGCGCAGTCCCGGGTCCATCTCGCAGTGACTTTACTCTGGATCAAAGACCTGCCAGTGGCCGGGCAGTCGTCGGCACCCTGGGCGGTGCAAGAGCCGAAGAGGAAGTACAGTGTCGCCAGCTTCTGCCAGCAGCGCGGCGAGAGGCAATAGTGATGCATGGTATGAGGTATCAGAGATCTGTATACCCCGGCGGTGTACACATAAAGTGAAGCAGGAAGCTTGAGCAGCTGCGGTGGCGGCAATGTTCAAAATTCGTGGCCTGCAAGCAAGATCGCGCTGTTAGCTAGCACCCCTGAACTGGCTTGAAAGGGTGTTCGTGGCGGCTGCAAAATGGGCCCAATTCCCGGGGCAATGGCCCAATTAGTCCTAAACCCTATACTCTACTAGCCGTGGAGTCCTGCGCTGGTCGGGCATCTGGATCGTCGACTTTGGCTTCTTTGGTCAAGGCCAAACTCCAGGTCGAGGCATCTTGGCGGACACCTTTTCGGCTTTAAACTTAGACCAGGGCCGGACAGCTGGACAAAACTAGACGGGTTGATTATCTCGGATGAGCGTGGGCCATCTCAGCCGGAAGCGACCAAGAGCCGGGACAGTCGCAAGGTGGGTGCTTGCCAGAATGTGGAAGCAACTCGAAGCAGTGACACTTGCCCTCAACTGCCGCACATCACCCCTCGCCCCAACATAGAAAGACCTCGCCTGATGATTCTTTACAAGCCCCTGCCTCGATCTACAGCTGATCCCCTAATCAAGGTGCTCCGACTTGTAAGAAATCCTCAGTTGCGATCTTTGGACGAAGGGCTGAAGAAGCTGACCAGCGCGAGAAGGATGCCCAAGGCCCAGAGTCGGCGAGAGCACATGCTTTTGTTCTCTCAGGTTTACTCCTGATTCTGAAGTTTTAGGCCTTGGCAACTGAAACCTAGGACCTCTGAAGCTAGCAGCTCGTTACGCTAGCTGCTTCTCTGACTTTGACGATACCTCGGGGATTGAAGGTCCGGAAGGATGGCCACTGACCAAGCTGTGCTTTAACACGTGCTGCACTTGGCCATGGTGGTGATACATGCATGCAGCTTAGCTATCCTGGAGCCTCAAACTCATTCTGCTTCCCCTAGGCACAGGGATCCGCGGCCAGTTGCCATGCCAGACACAAAGCAGGGTCAGTGACTGAGTCAACGGAAATTCAACTCAACGCTACGGCGCTCCTAATACAAAAAACTTTTCTCTCGCAGGCCTAGTCGAGGAGTCTGAAGAGCTCAGAAGTCCCCAATCGGATGGGAACAGTCCTCCGATCCCTGCCTGCATCCTGCAACGTAGCAGATGTCTTTAAGCTTGACCTGCCCACAGAGGCCGCGTCCAATGCAAAAGCTGCAGTCGGGCAATACAGAAGCATCGTCCATGCTTCTTCCCTGCCTGATCTTCCTCCACGTGGAAAAGCTGGGGCAGGGCCATGGACAGGTTGGTGAGGGAAGCCCACTTCTATGCCAGTGTTAAGATCAAGGCGAGCTTGTCCAGCTGTTGGTCACCGCCAGGACGAAGCCGCTTCCATGGCCCTTTCGGGGTTATCGCCCTTGCCTCACTCTGCGCCACCATGCTGTCGCTGCTTGCCTGATCAGATCGACCGGCTTTTGAAAACGTGAGAGCTGCAGCAGACGAGCTTGGGCCTCGCGGCCGGGGCGGAGTCCTAGGCGCGGTGAAGCCCAGGCACACTCGAGACCACAGGCATTCCGAGGCATCGTTTCGGTGATGTGAGGTCGGCACATCGACGCAGACAAAGCGAAGGCCAGATTTGCCAGCCCCTGGCGCGAAGTCTAAGTCATCCTCACTATCCTCACTTCGCTCGGCTTGGAGGTCACCTGCTGGGTGAACTCCGGAAGCCTGGTGCACCCTGCCATCACCAGTCGCAGACCTTCGTCAAAGCTACCAGCAGTAAACTTCAGTTGGCTCGGTTGGCAGTGAACTCAAAAGCTCAGAGTTTGAGGTCTCCGTCGTTCACAATCTCGCTAGTCAACTAGTCCAGCCGACTGGATGCTCATGGTGACTTCTGGGTAGGTTGCGGAAGTCTTCGTAGCTTTCTTTCTCCGACACCTGCGGGCAGACAAGCTGTGCGAAGCCGGAGTTGCACAGCCCATGAGCAGCCTCGGCGAGGCGCGCAAAAGCCCAAGCGGCTGTGGAAATCTCCTGCGGCTCAAAGCCTGACGGTGCACTCCCGGGATGTACCCAAAAAAGTACGAAGAGCTGGGGACGCCTTCGAGTCCACGCTCCAGCGCTGCCGTAGAGAGCCTGGGAGGACGGTTTGGAAACACTCTGCGGGGCCGGCAGGGAGGACAATACATTGTCATACACTTAGCAAAGTATATAGTAGAATATGTAATAAATATCATGCTATATATGTATATATGTATTCTGGGCAAGTCCACGATCCTCACCGGCCAGGTGGCAGCGTCAGAAGCGGATCGGGGGCCTCTGCCAGCCTCCATGCTGCTGCATGTCGCCACTCGCATCCCATACGAGTACTGTTGATGGACAAAATTCTGCATGACCCAAAAATAGTATAGTACCATAAATCACATAGTTTAGGTATATAAGGTCATGCAGGATTTTGTCCATCAGCCGTAACATGGCTTTGCTCCCTGCCTTGCAAAGCTCCAGGCGCATATTGCCAAGTTCCTCGATCTCTGGCAGACTCCAGGCCGAAGTCGATTCGTCGGTTAACGCCTTACCATGTAATACCTTCCTGTCGTCATGTGCTTTGCAAGCGAGGGTCTGCGGCGAGATTTCTTTGTACATGCTGCTGGCCTGGGGGCAGTGGCGGGAAAAACGACGCCGGCTTCTGCTGTTTACTCCGCTCTACACGCTCCTGTCGCACAATCGCTTCCACCGCATCACCCGCCATGGGAAATCTGTCCTGACCAAAGAACCGGCCCTTTCACTCCGCACGCAAATGGACGAACTTCCACGCATGCGCATTTCCTCTTCGGACAATGAATGGGCATGTGCATATGCCAATGCTTGGAATCGCTTTACGCATCCGAAATGTCGGCCGGCCATTTGCCGAAGCCTCCACTGTCGACGTTGCCATTGCCCACAGCAGGGTTGCCAAATGCCGGGGCCTCGGTTTCGGATTCTTAGGCATTTATGGCCGAGATCCTCGATCCGTGCACTCAAACTCTGAGCCCTAGCGGTTTAGGGCCTCTCTACGCTCCGAAAGCCGAAAACTGTAAACCTAAAAGGTGACAAAAGCAAAGCCCCAGACTCTGCAGTGTCCAAGCTCTGTATGGCCGCAGCGGCCGACCGCCAGAAACTGCCCGAAACAAGCGTTCAGGATTTCGTGCTTTGTATTGCCCCCCACCTAGCTCGGACGAGCCCGTATTGCAGGGTTATGTATTCAGAGGGCCAGGGTGTCCTTGAAGGGTTCGTTAAAGAGCTCTCCTCGCAGCATCTCCGTGGTTTCTCGGCGCTCACACTCGAAAATTTCTAGACGTGAAGGGTTAGGGTACTGGAGGCGAGGCTTTTTGCCTCCGACCTCGCAATGACGGGTGTGGGATTTTGATATAGGGGCATAATGATTAGAGGAAGGGCGCCTGGGATCCGGCAACAAAACATCTTCAAAAGGAGAGTCCACTCGTTACTGCTTCTTATTGCTTTGCGCACTCTGCTTCTCCCCGCCTGGCACCTTCTTGCAACGCCAGCCTGAGCAACAAGCACCAGCACCAGTGTTAATACAGAAGCTTCAATAATTACCTGTAGTATTTTGGGGCTCCTTCTTATATTGCTACTATAATGTACCCCAAAACCCACCCTATTCTTAGTATTAAGGCCCCTACATTACAGTCAAAGGGGCCCGGCCTCAGGACGGCCAGAGCCCAGCAGGTATTCGACAGGCCCTGGCAGAATGTCGGCTCCAGCGGACCGGGCCTTCTCAGATTCTGCCTGACGTTTCAGGCACCTGGGAATTCATCTGCGAAGTCAACCCGGCCTAGACACAGGTCGTATTTTTCAAAAAGAATTCTTACCATGGCCGACAGCTCTGAGTTTCGAGCTGCGGCTGAGGCCAAGGGTACTGTTTGGGCTTCCAACCTTGGTGTTCGCGCAGTCATTACATCATACGCTGGAAACTTTGACAAGACATTAAACATAATGTAATATGATCTGATCTGAAGCATTGTAAACGAATATATTATATTCTACCCGAACATGACATAGCCTCGCATCACGTAACATGTCACAAACCTCCAATATAGCAGATCAAATCACTAAAGTGTGTTCGAGTGCCACAACATAATCGACTGCACAGTAATTATGCAATAAGATATAGTACCAGATCACAACATTTTTCACGACATGCAGTATCAGGTAACACCAGTAATGCAAGACAACGGAAGACAACGTTGTGACATAGGAGGTTATATCATGTTAAGAATAGTAATACAAGGTGATCTCATACGGTGTAAGATAACATACAACAAAGCGGCATAGGATGTTATATGAAACGCAAGATAACAGAATCGCTTCTCTCATCTTCGTCTTCTGTAGGAGAAATCGCCGAGGGCTTGGGGCTTAGCAGAAGTCGTGGGTGACAGTACGAGCACTATAGCAACACGACGACACAAACACTTCTCAACTGCACCCGCCAGCGAGGCACCGGTTCCCCACAATCGCAAGAGAAGACAAGGCTAGGAAATCAGCCATGCACGCGAACCGCTGCAGGGAGACGAGACGAGCAGTGCCTGAAACATCTTCCTTCGACCGATGTCTTGTTACCAAAACACCGTCAATGTTTCATCAGCGTCAAGATGTTAACGCTGGCACTCGCTGTCGTGCCCTGCTAGCTAGCTCGGCAAGAGCCCGCTTCTCCAGGAGTTACACCAAGATGCCACGCTTTCGACAGATGTCGGCTCTTCATCTTCGTTCTCTCAGAGTAGTTTGATGTCTCGGAAGCTTTGACATGCATGCTCTGCAAAGAGCGGCGGTTTAGGGACATTGAGAAGGCACAGTTTGAAGCCAAAGCTCGCGGCAGTGGGGTCTCTCCACTAAGCTTCGCGATGGCCTGTCAAGCCGGTGCTCAGAACAATGTCACGAACCGGCGCCGCCTACTGTATTTGAAGTTACGCGACAACTTAAGCAGCACAAAAGATGGCTGTGATTTCATGGCCCAAGACTCCAGCTTGGCCATGACAATGCAAGCCATCCCACTGGAAGGGAATCAGAAGCCAATGTTTCTTACCTCTGTCGCCCTCTGAAGAACATGAAAACACCCGCACCCAGCAGACGTTGGAGAGACTGCGATGCCCGAAGCCGTGCACGACCAGTTCCTGCTGCAAAGAGTCCAAGAGCCAAAGGCAAAAAGGCATTCTTATTCGCCCGCTGTGCTCAACAACACTGCTACTATGCATCGGCGGCAAACACGATGACAACGGCCTCTTCTTCCCCTTCTACTACTTGTAATGTAGGGGTACTACCACTATACTACCACAACAACTTACTACTACTACTACTAAGAATAATAATAACAATAATAATAACAATAATGAAAACAAAAATAATAACACTACTACTACTACTACTACTACTACTACTACTACTACTACTACTACTGCTACTACTATAGTGCAATCACTGTACAAGAAACGATTGGATAAGAAACGTAGGGGCTACATCAGCCGGACAGCACCAAAAAACCGAAATCTTAAACTGCCTTCTAGCTAAGAAATGAAGGGTACCCAACGTTTTGGGATCATTTCTTATTTTGGGGTTTTCCAGGTCCTAACCCTAGGGCATGAGGCAGAGGCCAGAAAAAGAAACGTAGGGGGCTACGTTTCTTATTTTGGGTGGCTATTAAGCCTAGAGCACAGGGCAGGAGC